TCAAATTATTCTTGTTTAAAGTTATAAAAAAATTTTATTAGAAAAAATTTGCTTGATTTCTATTGACTCACCCCCATGTACTAATAAAATTAATAAATAAAATTAACAAATAAAATTAATAAATAACAAACGTATACATATTACATATAATCATATTGATTGATAAATATTAAGAATTCAAGATTTCTCAGAATAAATAAGACCTATTTCCTTTCCTTCCTTAATTTCTTTTGGAGTTAAGCTATTAATAATTCCAATATCACCTTGAAAGACAAAATGGTCACCATTCTTAAATTCAATCTTTGCTTTCAAGCTATGTGCTATCAGAATACGTTGAAATGCTTTTGTATAAATATTTAGAGGTGTAAATTTCGTATTATTTTTTGAAGGTATTTTCATTCCAACTTCAAATGAGTATTTGCTTCCTGAAGGTTGTGATAAGGTAGAAAGTTTCTTCTTGTCGATTATAACTTTAGTAGATTCGATTTTATTAGCAGCTATAATAGTATTATTCTTAACAATACATTGTAATTCAATTAATTGAAGTTTGATCTTTATAATATTTAAATCTGTCATTGTTGATTTCAAGGAAGTCAAATTGACACACATTGAAATATCATCACCCATACTCCATCTAATCAGATATTTGAAATAAAATAATTAATATCAAAGTTTATCATTTCAAAATAAAATAAAATGAAATGAAAAAAAGCTTGAAACTTACAAAAATTTTTTTAACTCGCATTTTACCATGGTATCACCAACTTTATATTCTTTGAATGCTTTATCATAATCTGGACATTTCATAATGATCGGTCGTTCCAAAGTTTCAGCAGGCAAACACCATCGATTAACCTGACACTTTACTGAAATAATCTTTTCAACATTCTTATTAGTTATTATTCTTGCTTCCAGGATATAATTTATGCTTGCATAAATATTATAATCAATATTAAACGAACTCGGAAGATCATCCTCAAGTTTGATGTTAAACCTCAAATTCAAATTGGTAACAGGCTGATAGTCCAAATTCTCCCAAGCATTATAGGTATAATGACAAAAGACTCGACTAAATTTTTCATGAAATCGTTTAAATATGCTTTCACACAAGGTAGATTCTTGACCAATTAGAGAAATTTCAACTTTTTTCAAATATAAAGGTTTATTAATAGGATAATGAAGATGAAAATTTCCAGCTATGAAGGATGGGCCAATGCCGAGATAACCTTTTTTTTAAAAAAAAGAAATAATTAACCATTTTGAAGATTACGATATTCCTGTGTGTCAGTATGAATGACAAAATATTACTGACCATGTTGAAAGGTTTTGATATCCTTCGAAGAATAAGTGAAAAATGCATGTTTATCATATTTTATATAAGAAATTTTTGGAGGTCCGTTCATATTTTATTGTTATTCGTAATTTGAGATCTAATGTTGTGTATTTGAAAAAAAAAACAGGTGCTCGGCACGTCCTTATCTATTTATACTTTTTATTTTTTTACAACAAATGAACATCATCATTATACAAGCTTTGGCGTCAATGAGTTCTGCATTTCTAACGGAATAATATTATTTCTATGGACATTAAATTTTTTAGTATCTTAATGACATATCCATACTTAAAAGGATAATGTTTGGTACAAAAAAGGCTTAGAAAATCATTTTATAATTCTTCTAGTTTGTTTCAATGATGTCTCATGAGAGCATGTGAACATAAGGTTTCTAAAATTTACAGATTTAGAAAAAAGGTAGTTTCCAAATCAGTAAATTATGTGCCATTGTTTGTAATATTGTTTTCCTTAAATGTTCGTACAAAATCGTATGCAGTAACGGTAATGAGCCCTCAAACATTATCGTACAGCATCTCCGTCTTTACTTAAATAATTCTTTTTCATTTGTACTAATTTGTATTCCAGAGAAAATTATACGTAGTGTAGCGTTTTCTCCAATTATCAATCACTCTAATCACTTACATTAATAGATATAATAATGGTAATGTTTTGCTCAATTTAGTTGCATTGTCTTGTACTCACAATCATATTGTAATTTTTGTTTCATTGATTTTCATTGAGTTTTGCCAAGAAAAAATTAATTTCAAGTTTATCATTGATTATTTATTGAATTCAGCCCATGAAAAATCCGAATGATTATAATTTAAAAGCATATCGGCCGATTTTCGGAATTGAGTTTACATGGTATGTACAGTATATAAAAATAATTTAAGGAGTAAATAACAGTAACAATACAAAATTTTATTAAAATTAAAATTAATTTATAGTGCTATTGTTAATTGGTTCGTTTTACAAACCCATGTAAACCCAATTCCGAAAATCCACCGTTATGGCCGAATTCAATAATAAAATTGAATCCTGAATTCTTATTTTATTTGGCAGCATTCATTTGTCATTGATGCCTGTGGCTTCATTTGTTTTATCTCTCATTTTGGTGACTTATTATGGAAATACATTTGGGTGTTATCTTCTACTAATCGAGCAACCTACACAGCTTTTTTAGTATCGTTTAACATTCGTTTTTTTTTATTTTTTTTCCTTGACTATCGTCCCAACAGGTCATAGAATGCATTAGAATTTGTACAAATGACTGTCGTCCTGACAGGCCACTCCAGAAAAGCTTACTGGGAAGGGATGGACTGACAATGTAACCAGAACGAATGTCGGGTTAGCAAAAGAAACAAGGTTATTACTCCTGCTTACCTCATCAATTACAAATATATCTATTTGCTAACCAATTACCTCATACTTACTCAACTAATTACTTAACTTTCCCATTACTTCATCTCATACGCATCTTATAAGGATTACTTCATACTTACCTAATATCATTGATGTTAAATATTCTGTTACAAACCTTACTACTTTAGCAATACACAATATCGATATGTAATTCACTGGATCACTTGATCGATCATTAGACCGAACATACTTGGAGATGTCACATGTTGGTCTCGTGATGATTCGAGGCAAAGGCTGCCTGCTACTTACGTATCGGGCAGCCTTTTAATTACACAAATAAATTATGTACATATTACGTGCGAGTTTAAATTATTCAACATTAATGATACAGGCGAATCATCCCAATGTGTGTTATAACGATACCCAGCAAGTTACAGTTACCCCTATTGTGCTGTAATTAAGCTATGATGTCATAACTATGAAAAACACTATAATGTATATACAATGTAGAGACCACACATATGCGGTCACATAATAGGCGCATAAAATGTGATTGATTTTTATTGAGATTTATGCGGCATTTGTACGGGCATTTTAAACGAATAATAAAAATATCTGTATATAATTGTTAAATTTCACAGGCAGTGGAGGATGCTCGGTGGTTAGTGGAGAACTTAAAAAGTTGGAACGGGCGTTTAGCATAGAAACCCTCCAAAATAAAAGTAGTTTTTATGGTTGCCTTGATAGTAGGTTGGTATGGAGTTTACCAAAGGTTAGTAGCTGCAGGGAACTGGACACGGCAAATGTTATAACTCAACCGAAGCTGTCGCGGTGCTTTGAGTTCTGCAGAGCACTTAAAAGGTTCATGGGTAACGCTGGTAATAGCAATAAGGTGGCACTAAAGTCAGTAGTAGATGGTGGACCAATGCAATGGCAGAAAGATATTGCCAAAGAAATCTGGAAAGCTTGTCTGGAAAAGGAAATGGAGATTTACCATACAAGATGGGTTCCAAGTCTGAGAAATCCAGCAGACGAGGATCTTGGAATCCGGGGATTCGGAATTAAAAGCAGTGTTGGACGATGGTGTCATATAGATGACATAACTTAGGCCGTTTGAAGTTAATTCTTCGGTTAACATCACCTTTAGAACCCTTGGGAGAGGGGGAGGACGAACATATAAAAATGGGCCAATTTCATTGGTCGACATAAATCAAGTAATTGGCGAGAGTTATCCAGCGTTTTGATTGGTGTTCGTTTATCGGGAGAGACTTCAGCGGGGGAATGTTAACCGAAGAATCAACTTCGAACGACCTTATATTATTTTGTCATATTATAATATCATATGAAGTGTCGTATATTAGCACGTCTTGAATGTGTGCAGTTAGCCTATGCCCACAGCGATCAATATTAAAAAATACGTTCACTTACGTACGTACATAAGTATAAAATCGATATTACTAATTATATAATATCAATATAATTAACTTTTTATTACTACATTCCATACTAATTTATAATATTGCCTTTATTGGATTTTTTCAAAAATGGTAAGGATGAACTTAACGTCTGTAGATCTCCCACAAAAACATTAATCAATAAACCTCCCTAACATCCCAATTGGATAAAAAATCATGGGGGATTTTTTGTGGGAGAGCTACCGTACATGATAAATTTTTTAACGACAAAAAATGGGCGATAGTGCATGGAGTTAACAAGCGAAAAATTTTTTCTACAATTGGATTTTTTATTTTTTTTTTAATAATATCGATATCTTTCTGATTAATTTGATGAATCTTATTTCTTACAATTTATCTACTCTTTTATTTATTTATTTGTTATCATTATTATTATTATTTGTTAGTTCAAGTCGCAAAAAGCAATTCAATTTATGTTTCGTTACACCCTAGTTCTATTTCGCAAGACCATTTACAAAAATTAGAATCTTGATAAAATAAAAATATCAGAGGTAGCTTCGAGGTATGCATTTTTTTTTTTTTTATTGTTGAATTAATCAATAGTTTCGTATCTTACAAGTGAATCAGTCATACAAAATGAAGAAAGTGATGATTTTTGGTTGAGAAGAATGATGTTGATGGTTCAGTTGAACAGAATGAAGAAGCTAATGGTTTTTCAGTTGAACAGAATGAAGAGATTGACATTTTTTTGCAAGAAATTAAAAATAATTACCAAAATGCCGGATCCAATATTGTATTGCTTTGGATAAATTTATTACAAGATATCACGTATCAAAATTGTTTTCAATCTCACGATTGATTTTCTTCCTGTATGATAATCCGTGGTCAAGTTGAATTTGTTAAACAGACTCTGGATATACTTATACTGAAATCGGGCTATAACGAATCGGATTTGACAGACGGATTTTTTATAATAAATTAGGCTGGCTACACCAAACTTAAATAGTAAATCTTTATATACTGTATCCGAACTCTTTTTACTAGTCCAAGACTATATATACATATTTCGATATAACGAACTATCATATAATTTCGCAGATATGCATGTTTACAAAGTAATGAGATCCAAAATATTTCGAAAAGTAATGAATGAACACAAAGACAGCAAGGGTGAGACAAAATTTCAAGTAAAATTCCGAAATTTTCCGAAGTCATTTTAATAAAGCCGGTTTTGTGAGATTTTATTGGTTAGCTTTATATACCGAACAGTTCAGTATAAAGAGAGTAAATTATACAACAAACTTACTCTATACGAGCAAAATGGTCCAGGATATCCGGATTCTTTATAATAATTTTGTTATAAAATTAAATTAGAGGATATCCGGATCGCATCTCTAGTCCAGGATATGCAGTTCGGCATATCTAGAGTCGACTGTAATTCTAACCCTAACTCCGCCCTATAAAAAACAGCTATATTATAAAAAATTAGGGCCTATATAAAGTTTCAAGCTCTGCTTATAGAAGTTATTACATGATTTAGTTGCAAGCATTTTGATTTTAACTAATAAATTTAAACACTTAGAAAAGCGACAGTAGTTGCTTATTTTAAGTAGAGTTTTATATTAATGCATTTTGTTCTTATATATTAAATTAGCACAAATAAAATAAGATTAATTAGTGAATATTTGTGAAAAGTTTAGTTTAAAATTTGTATTAATAAATATTCTTCGTACCTACTAAATTAGCACAAATAAAGTAAAATTAAATAATAAATATTTATAATAAATGTATAATAAATATATATTTTTTACTTATATCTAATTGAATTAAATAGCTAAATCCGGAGAAACGCGGCTGGTCACATACTAGTCTCTTTTAATAATTTTGCTAAATCCTAAAATGATTCATAATCGCTTCACGATAACTTAGCGCATCTACATTATTTGGCTCAATTTCTAATGATTTTGTTAGATCCAAAAGCGATTTATCATATTCCTTCATCATATAATAAACAATACCACGATATCTTAATGCTGATGCATCATTTGACTCAATTTCTAATAATTTTATTAAGTTCTGAAGTAATTCATTATTTGGTTCGATTTCTAATGATTTTGAAAAATCCATAAGTGATTCATTATACTTTGCTTTCTTATAATAAATCATGCCATGATAACTTAATGCAGATACATCATTTGGTTCTATCTCTAATAAATTTGTGAAATCAACAAGTGATTTGTCATGTTTTTTTGTCATATAATAAATGATGCCGCGGTAACTTAATGCAGATACATTATTTGGCTCAATCTCTAATGATTTTGTTAAATCCCAAAGTGATTTACTATATTCCTTTATCGCATAATAAGTCATACCACGATCTCTTAATGCTTCTGCATTATTTGGCTCAATATCTAGTAATTTTGTTAAATCCAAAAGTGATTTATTATACTCCTTCATCATGTAATAAATCATGCTACGATAACTTAGTGCAGATGTATTATTTGGCTCGATCTCTAATGATTTTGTTAAATCCATAAGTGATTCATTATACTTTGCTCTCTTATGATAAATCATGCCGCGGTAACTTAATGCTGGTGCATTATTTGGCTCGATCTCCAAAGAGTTTGTCAAATCCTCAAGCGATTTATCATATTCTTCTATTATATAATACGTCATACCACGGTAATTTAATGCAGATACATTATTTGGCTCAATATTTAATGCTTTTGTTAAATCCTCAAGTGATTTATAATATTCCTTTATCACATAATAAGTCATACCACGATCTCTTAATGCTTCTGCATTATTTGGCCAATATCTAGCAATTTTGTTAAATCCTCAAGTGATTTATTATATTCCTTCATCATATAATAAGTTACACTACGATAATTCAATGCAGATACATTATTTGGCTCGATCTCTAATGATTTTGTTAAATCCATAAGTGATTCATTATACTTTGCTCTCTTATGATTGATCATGCCACGATAACTTAATGCAGGTGCATTATTTGGCTCGATATCCAAAGATTTTGTCAAATCCTCAAGTGATTTATCATATTCTTCTATTATATAATACGACATACCGCGGTAATTTAATGCAGATATATTATTTGACTCAATCTCTAACGATTTTGTTAAATCCTCAAGTGATTTATGATATTCCTTTATCATATAATAAGTAATACCACGATCTCTTAATGCTTCTGCATTATTTGGCTCAGTCTCTAGCAATTTTGTTAAATCCTCGAGTGATTTATTATATTCCTTCATCATATAATATATAGTTATTGGATGCGAAGCAGCCAATAACGGAAATTATTTGTAAAATAATTTCATTATCTGGCCGTGAAATTTAATATGTCAGCTTCTGGGGCCCGAAGGGGCCCAGAAATGATACATACTAAATTCGCTGCCAGATAAACAAGTTATTGGCTGCGTAGCATACAATAACGGTGTTATCCGGTGGTTTACGACGATTGTGCTTGCCAAATGACTCGAGTTTTTGGTAGTGATTATGTAAGCTGCCAAATAACGAAGTTATTTGGCAGATGACGTAATCACTGCCAAATAACTCGAGTTATTTGGCAAGCACTATCATAGTAAGCTGCCGGATAATAAGTTATACTACGATAATTCAATGCAGATGCATTATTTGGCTCGATCTCTAATGATTTTGTTAAATCCATAAGTGATTCATTATATTTTGCTCTCTTATGACATATCATGCCACGATAACATAATGCTGGTGCATTATTTGGCTCAATCTCTAAAGATTTTGTTAGATCTTCGAGTGATTTATCATATTCTTCTATTGTATAATAAGTCATACCATGTTGACTCAATGCTGATGCATTATCTGGTTCTATTTCTAATGATATTGTTAAATAATCAATTGATTCTTTATATTTATTCATTTTAAAATACATTATCCCGCGTAGTAAATAAGCATTAAATTTATTCGATTTTTGCTTTATAGCTAAATCTAGATCTTTAATTGCATCATGGAATTTATTACATTCTATATATACTTTGGCTCGAAAACATCGTAATGAGTAACTTATGGGATATTCTTTAAGCATTTCTGTAAGTGCATTAATAGCTGTTTCAAACTTTCCTAATTTGTATGCGGTGTTTGCTTTTCTTAAAGAAGGATGAAAAAATTTGAAAATTTTTCTTGCTGTTGAATTTGTTATTTTAAAGTTTGCTGAGATTTGAGTTTAGAGATATTAATTTCTTCATCATTATTTTCATTAGAAATATTTTGGTTGTGCTCCTGAACAGCATTGCTATAATTGTCTTCAGCCAAATGATTTTGAATTCCTTGAAGAGTTGCTGACTGTGGTAAATTAATCAGAGAATTTAAATCAATTATTTCTCGACATAACGGACAATTTGGTTGGGCCCTTTTGTCAATTATTCGTTGTAATGCATCAGGACTAATGAAATGTTTACAGCATGATAAAATTTGATAGCTTTTTGAAATTTGATAAGTTATTGGACAAGATAATTCTTCAATGATTATATCTGAAATCGAATCATTACTTATAATTATGGCACGAGGTGATGCTAAGCTATCTGTTGTAATGTCATTTCTTTGTTCTTTCAAATTTCCTATGTAATTTTTGCTAATATCTACTAATTTATGATCGTAAAAAGACTTTTCACGAATCGCTTCAATCATATGGTGTGATTTTAACCCTTTTACTGAATCCAATAACTTTTTATAGGTTTTAAAATCATTTTCAATAATATTGTAAAATATCATTTTTCTTTGTGACAATTTAATAAGGACTTCTATAGCCTTATAACGAATGAAAGACAAAGGAGCCTTTTGCAAAGACTCTAATGCCAAATAATAACAGATACCTAAAGTCGCATCCTTTTGAGTTTTTGCAATTAATTCTTGTGCAATATCAAGAGCTCCAAACCATAGAGAATGTGGAAACGCGAGTGGCTCCATTCCTAAAAGATTATTGATAAAATGCTTTTTATTTGTAAGAGATTCGGAATGAGTTATTGGATTTGACCAACTTTTTGTTACACGATGCCATAAGCATTCAAGTAATAAATTTTCGCCATATTCTGAAGAAAGTTTGCATTCTTGAAGAAAGCTTTGAATATTGAAGTGTAGTTCAAGTAGTGTTCTCCATTCATGATACCATGATGAAATCGGGTATTTACAAGTAAAAGCCTCTTGTAAATTTTTAAACAGTAATTCTATACCATTGCTATTTATAGGTAAATCTGCACCATGCGAAATTCCTGTTTTCACAAGTCCTGGAGTAATACCTAATATTGTACGAAGAAGTTTTTTTATTCTACGCCATACTTCTAAAGATTTATCTTCATCATCTCTCATACAATGAAGGGTATCTCGTAAGTGTAGCAACAAGAAATCGATATTGTAATTACGTTTCCCATCCTTGTAAATTTTACTTTCATTTGAAATAGCCAAGTCTGGTAAAGTTGTTGACTTTGATGGAAGATTAAAATCTTCAAATTCTGATTTAAAAACTTTATTAAAACCTTGTTCATTAACTTCAGTTGATCGAAAATGTATCTCAGCAAATTTTCCTAACTGAGCATAAATTTTTTCTCTCAAATCATGTCGAATCCGAATTTCACTTTTGCAAATTACTTCAATAAGAGAAACTAAGGTACGAAGATGTAATTCTAACTCAGAGATAGTTTCAATGCTATAGTAGTCAAATACAGATGAATCAGCCAACAGTTTAATAGACTCGACTAACATTTTATGTGATATCTGGTTATCTTCTATAAATCTTTTCAAAGAATAAATATCATGTGTACTTGTCCATTTCTTAAATCTTTCAATGAGATTAGAGGAATCCTATTATTTAAAAGACAGGTTAATAAGTGTTTACATAACTTTTTGGTTAATCAGCGACGTATAATAAAATGCACATGTGTTAACTAGTTTGCCAGCTTCAATGAAATTCGTTGCTTAGAATTAACAGATCAAGTATGACAAAATATCCAAAATTCCAAAGATATACTGTATATCTAATTTAACGAATAGATTTTGGTCAACTCTGAGATATCTGTTCATAAATATGGTGTGCTATCTAAAAACTAGAAACTAGTAATACACATGTTTTTAAGTACGCATTATATAGTTATGGTCGCTGACAACATTTTTTACAGACTGAGATTATAAATAATAAAATATTATAGTTTCAATGTCCTTGGAATTATTCATCTTATTAAAAGAAAAAAAAACTTTACTAAAATTGAAATAATAAATATGCAATCTTCTAAGGGTATTTCTAACGGTCAAAATTGGATTTATTTTAGGAAATTATAATCTGAAGTGTAAATATAACGAAGTGCTATACAGTTATTCCAAGAACGTCCAAAAATAATTGGACAATGCATCAGATGTAGTAAACTTTCACTAGGGATGTTAATCTGTCCCGCAGTAATTGTCAGCCGACTTTGAGCAGATTTATAAAAAATTGGCATTTTTAACCGGTATTCGTCCAATAAATAAAGTTATAGAAAAATAAATTTTCTGTTACATTTTCTAATAGAGGTTTATCGGTTTTTGCATTAGTTTTTGAGTAGTTTTGATGGGACCGATTAGGGACCGAACAGTGTGGAGAAAATTTAGCTAATCGGTCCCTAATCGGTCCCATTTAAATTACGCAAAAACTAGTGCAAAAATCGATAAACCTCTATTAGAAAATGTAACAGAAAAATTATTTTTCTATGACTTTATTTATTAGACGAATGCCGGTTAACAATGCCAATTTTTTATAAATCTTGCTCAAAGTCGGCTGAAAATTACTGCGGGACCGATTAACATCCCTAACTTTCACAATGTTATTAACAATGTGTTACATAGAACTATGTTTGTAATTGCATTTGAACAATCTCACTAATACGTATGTCCCTAAAAATTTCACCGAAAAAGTCCTATGTTAAAATTAGAACATTATGCTTTTTTCGCTTCGTTAAATAGTGGTAAAACTATGTTGAAATCTACTTAAACTACAATTTGGATGTGAACTTGAATAACTTAGCTAGTAAAAAAAAAATTATTAGTATTAATAATTCCAATTGACAATTATATAGATTTTTTATTTAGAAAAAAAAAAAAGAAATGAAAAAAAAGCATCTTTATGATGCATCATTTTTTTTTTAAATCATTATATTTAATGGATTAATTTAGAATTAACCGGTGGTGAAATTCACCGGCCTAAGAGTTTTTAGGGTTAGGGTAGGGTTAGGATATTAAGAATTATTTGTTTATTATATAAAATAATATAGGGCTAATATAAAGCCCCAATCTTAGTTCTCGGGAGGCTTTCAGGGTTCTGAACATTTTTACTTAGAGTACCCGATCCCGTTTACTTAGTACGTTTTCGAGATACAGAACCCCCGGTGAGTATTAAGATCGTCCATATTTAACATACAAATTTCTGTAGTCTCTTTTTCATTAAATCTAACTTTATATTTTTCCTCAACTTCGATTTCGCTTTCACTATCTCCACTACCAAACTCAATTTCACTTTCACAATTAAATTCGATCTCATATTTGCTGGTTTCATCAACTTCCTCAAATTTGATTTCCTCAAACTCAAAACTACAACTATTTGGGTCCTCAAAAGTGCTCATTTCTGTTTTTGTATTCAAATATATAAATTTGCCCTTTATATACGTATATTACGATAAACTTGTAACGATAAAGTTCTGATCTGGTTAAAAATGGAATTTCGGATATTTATTTAATATCGTGTCGGTAGTTATCCCCTTCCGAAATTTCTTGCAGGTGACGTATACACGTTAGTGAATTGCATACTTTTTTTTTTTGCTGCATTAAACCGACATGTCAAGGGTGCTATTTTATTCGAAACTATGAAGGCTTCTTAAACGAAAAAATTCTAAATATGTTACGACGTTTTAAAATTAAACGCTTTTGCAATATCTATTTATTTATTTTGACAGTTTAAACTTTTAATGCATAATAAAATTTTTAAGTGAAATAAATCTTTGCCAATTTTTGGTTACTATTCAGCATAACAAAAATAATTGTTTTTTGTTTCATAAAATACATATACAGTCATCTTTTTCTATAACAAACTATTGGTTTTGGCCATAAAAAAAATTCGTCATATAAAATTACATACTACTATATTTCAGTTTTAATTAATATAAAATTTAAAAAGTTTGGTTTTTATCTATGATCAAAAAAAAAAATAATTACAAAACTGATGAAAAAAAAATTAATAAGATCAACATTTATTATAATGATAACGATTGTTCACAAAACATTTTGATCATTATTTACCCTTATAATCTGATCCGAAATCACATATAACTGCCGGCTACCAGTCGTTCCCTGTATAAAGTTCCGGTGCGAAAGAGACATTTAGATTCGGGCGAGTGGTGTGATAGAGTCCTGAGAGACCTAATCAAGCTTCAACAATTTATCGATAAACTTGGATTCTAATTACCTATAAAAAAAAAATTATAGGTAAATTTTTATATTACGGTAATACAAAAGACAGGGTCTAGCAAAGTTACAAGCCCAATTTTACTTAATTATGAAGGGCCAGAGAAGAACGTTCACAGTCATTTGTAACTGTGGCCACGATGAGCTTTCAATTCTCCCACTCCAATATAACAAGCAAAATTGAGAAACATAGCAACGGCTCATCCCGCTAATGGTAATTAAAAAATTTAGTAATT